AACATGGTTGGTCAAAACAAGGTTATAACATGCTTGGTTATATGTTCTTGGTTAGAACATGATTGTTCATAACATGGTTATAACATGGTTGGTTATAACATGGTTATAACATGGTTGGTTATAACATGGTTATAACATGGTTGGTTTTAACATGGTTGGTAAGAACATGGTTATAACATGGTTGGTAAGAACATGGTTATAACATGGTTGGTTATAACATGGTTATAACATTGTTGTTTATAACATGGTTATAACATGGTTATAACAGGGTTATAACATGGTTATAACATGGTTGGTTATAACATGGTTATAACATGGGTGGTGATAACATGGTTATAACATGGCTGGTTATAACATGGTTGGTTATAACATTGTTGGTTATAACATGGTTATAACATGGTTGGTTATAACATGGTTATAACATGGTTGGTTATAACATGGTTAGTTATAACATGATTGGTTATAACATGGTTAGTTATAACAGTATTGTTTATAACATGGTTGTAACATTGTTGGTTATAACATGGTTGGTTATAACATGGTAATAACATGGTTGGTTATAAAATAGTTATAACATGGTTTGGTATAACATGGTTGGTTATAACATGGTTATAACATGGTTGGTTATAAAATGGTTATAACATGGTTGGTTATAACATGGTTATAACATGGTTGGTTATAACATGGTTATAACAGTTGGTTATAACATGGTTATAGCATGCTTGGTTATAACATTGTTGGTAATAACATGCTTGGTTATAACATGGTTATAACATCCTTGTTTATAACATGGTTATAACATGGAGGGTATAACATGGTTACAACATGGTTGGTTTTAACATGGTTATAACATGGTTGGTTAAAAAATGTTTATAACATGTTTTCTTATGGTTGGTTCTAACATGGTTCTAACATGGTTATAACATGGTTGGTTATAACATGGTTGTTATAACATGGTTGGTTATAACATGGTTATAACATGATTGGTTATAACATGCTTGGTTATAACATGGTTATAACATAGTTGGTTATAACATGGTTATAACATG